AACAGTGACTAAAGTCTAAACTCAGGATAAAGCAGCTAAAATCAGTAAAACAGTGGCTAAAGTCTAAACTCAGGATAAAGCAGCTAAAATCAGTAAAACAGTGGCTAAAGTCTAAACTCAGGATAAAGCAGCTAAAATCAGTAAAACAGTGGCTAAAGTCTAAACTCAGGATAAAGCAGTTAAAAGCTAAAACCAGTAAAACAGCGGCTAAAGTCTAACTCAGGATAAAGTAGCTAAATGCTAAAACCAGTAAAACATGGCTAAAACTCAGGATAAAGTAGCTAAAAGCTAAAACCAGTAAAAGAGTGGCTAAAATCCAAACTCAGGATAAAGTAGCTAAAAGCTAAAACCAGTAAAACAGTGGCTAAAATCCAAACTCAGGATAAAGTAGCTAAAAGCTAAAACCAGTAATACAGTGGCTAAAGTCTAAACTCAGGATAAAGTAGCTAAAAGCTAAAACCATAAAAACAGTGACTAAAGTCTAAACTCAGGATAAAGTAGCTAAAAGCTAAAATCAGTGGGACAGTAGTTAAAAAGTACAACAGGCAAAACTAAAAGTTAATCTTTGTAGACCTGGCGCCAGAAGTTAATATCAGCTAAACAGAATGCAGTGTCACACCAGCTTAAAGCTACAAGCTAACATTAGCTAAAAGCTAAAAGTCTGCAGAAAAGTAAAAGGACTGAAGTAAATTTCAGCACAAAATAAAAAGTAATTAAAAATAATTATTTTCAGAAACTAAAAGTTTCTGAACCAGCTGACGGTTTTAAAACAGCCGAAGGTTCGTTCAAAACAGGAAAACAACAGGAGTCACCGTGGCAACCAGCAGCTTCCTCCTGCTTCCATCATGGCCGACCCCACTTCGAATTTCAAAATAATTCATTATTTTCAAAATAAAAGTTTAAAGGATGAAAATTAAATCAAAAGGTTTCAGTTGTCAGATTTTTCCTACGGTCCCTGAAGGCATCAGAACCCTGATCTAAAACTCTGCTCCTCCTCCTCGTCCTCCTCCTCCTCCTCACTGACTCACCTGAACCCTCAGACGGTCCTGGTGAAGACCTGTCTTTTCTGTTAGACAGCAAACCGTGTGGACCTCAGCAGTTTGGGTCGGACAGAACCTACACAGAACCGCAGAAGTCCATTCATCATTATGACACCAAAGGTAGACCTCAGCGTCTGTTAGCAAAATATCTCCTGAACCCGTGGACGGGTCAGGCACCGGGCCTTTGGTTCTGACGGTCCTGGTTCTGTTTCAGGTAACGACACCAACCTGTTCAACCTGGACTCGTACCCAGACTTCACCTGGTGGAGCTCGTCGTACCCCCACGGTGAGTCCAGAACCGGTCCTGCAGGTGTGTGGGTGGAGCCTTAGGTCCGGTTCTGTTTGTCTGACTACCTCTTGTCCTCAGATGGACCGGACCAGAACGGGTACCAGGAGTCCCTGCAGACCTACCAGAACCTGTCGACCCAGACGGGACAGTTCAGCCCGTCTGTGGAGGGCAGCCACAGCCCGTTCCTGACCAAAGGATCAAAGAGTAAGACCTGTGACCTGTAGCCCCGCCCCCTTTGATCTGTAGCCCCGCCCCTTTGATCTGTAGCCCCGCCCCCCTTTGACCCAGTTCAATAACCCTGCCCCCTCTGATGTTTTCCAGCTGATTCTGATCAGAACTTCTACGACCCAGACGGGCAGAGACAGACCCCGTCCTTCTGGTCCGAGTACCCCAGTTTCCAGGCCCCGCCTCCAGGATCCTCTAACCCCGCCCTCCAGCCTCCAGAGCCCTACTGCCCCCGTGTGGCCAAACGAAGAACCGCCCCCCTCCAGAGACCAGATCGGGAGGGCCCAGTGCCGGGGATGTCAGCTTATCCGGGTCAGAACCGGTTCCTGCATCACTTCCTGTGATCAACAGGTTTCAGTTTTTAACCCCTTCCTGTCCGGTTCAGGTTCTGGTCCCATCCAGCTGTGGCAGTTCCTCCTGGAGCTCCTCCTGGACTCAGCCTGCAGAACCTTCATCTCCTGGACCGGAGACGGCTGGGAGTTCAAGATGTCCGACCCAACAGAGGTGAGCCAAAACGGATCAGAACCAGACAGGGCTTTACACAATCAAACATAAAAGTTCTGTTTGATAGAACCGGACCTCCTTTAGATGTTCTGCTAAAAGCAGCTGAACAACAGCTGAAATTCAGCTGCTAGAGCTGAAAGAAGCAGTACAATAAAGACTAAGAATAGCAAAAACATCCCTAACAGCAGAAACAGGCTAGCTAAAAACCTAACATAGCAAAACAATAGCTAAAATACTGCATGTTAGCTGTAACGGTCTAACTAAAAGCTAAAAGCACAAGTGAGCTAAAAGTTAAATCTAACAGAGGTACCTAAAGGTGTCAAAACAGAAACTAAAAGTAGCTCAAGGCTAGCTAAAGGTTGCAAAACACTAGCCAAAACGCTATTGTGGCAAACAACAGCTACAATATCACATGCTAGCTAAAAGTATTAAAGTCTAACTAAAGGCTAAATGGTAAGCTAAAAGCTCAGTGTAGCAGAATGATAGCTTAAGGTAGCAAAAAGATAGCTAAAAGTAGCTGAAGGCTAGCTAAAGGTTGCAGCACACTAGTTAAAAGCTCAATGTAGCACAAGGATACCTTTTAAGTAGCTAATAGATAGCTAAAGGTAGCTCAAGGCTAGCTAAAAGTTGCAAACAAAAGCTAAAATGTTAATATAGCAAAACAACAGCTAAAATATCACATGCTAGCTAAAAGTATTAAAGTCTAAACACTAAATGGTAAGCTAAAAGCTCAATGTAGCCCAAGGATACCTTAAGGTAGCAAAAAGATAGCTAAAAGTAGCTGAAGGCAAGCTAAAGGTTGCAGTACACTAGTTAAAAGCTCACTGTAGCACAAGGATACCTTTTAAGTAGCTAAAACATAGCTAAAAGTAGCTCAAGGCTAGCTAAAAGTTGCAAACAAAAGCTAAAATGTTTATGTAGCAAAACAACAGCTAAAATTTCACATGCTAGTTAAAGGTATTAAAGTATAAATGCTAAATGGTAAGCTAAAAACTCAATGTAGCACAAGGATACCTTAAGGTAGCAATAATATAAATATAAGTAGCTGAAGGCTAGCTCAAAGTTGTAGTCCACTAATTAAATGCTTAATGTAGCAAAGAACTAGCTAAAAGCAAAAAGTTAGCTAAAAGTAGGAATTCATTAGCTCAACCTTGCAGAACACTAGCATAAAGCTAAAACTGTGAAATATAATGCTTAAAGCTAATGTAGCCTAGCTCAAGGATTGCAAAAGCCAAATTTAACAAAAAGCTAGCTACAAATTATAAGCATTAAATGTATAGCTAAAAGTAAAAGTAGCTAAAGGCTTGTTAAATGTGGCTGAACACTAGCTGGACAAGGTTTGCTAAGTAGGAACAGTGTTTTTAAGGAAGTGAGGACACTTCCTGTATTTTATTTTGAAAGGGTTTGTTGACCTGCAGGTGGCCAAACGTTGGGGTCAGTGTAAGAACAAGCCGAAGATGAACTACGAGAAGCTGAGCCGCGGCCTGCGCTACTACTACCACAAGAACATCATCCACAAGACGGCGGGCAAACGCTACGTCTACCGTTTCGTCTGCGACATGCAGGGCATGCTGGGAAAGACGGCGCAGGAAGTCCTGAGCAGCATGAACATCCCGCCCACCGGATCCGAGTCCTGGAGGTCCACGGGGGTCACCTCGGGGGTCACCTCGGGGGTCACGGCAGCCGAGCACGGCGGCGGGACGTGGGGGTCGCAGTGACGACGACTCTGGTTCTGCAGAGATCGTCCTAAAGACACAAAACTACAAATCTGTCAAATCTCAGGAAATCCGGAGTGCAGAGATCAAAGATCAGAAATCAGAGATCAAAGATCAAACGGTCTGAAGCACTAAAGACAGAAAACTGTAAGTAATGTTGATAAAAACACCATGTAGAGTTTTGTTCTTTCACTTTATTTTAATATTATTATTGTTATTTTTGATACAAAACTCACGTCTACCTCCAAGACCTCTGGGATGAACAGAGTGGTGTTTGATTTATGATAATTGTTTGTAAATAAACTGTGAGTAAACAAACAGGAAGTGACGATGTCAGAGACTCTTGAACTACTTTTTACAAAAAAAAAAAAACACGTTTTAAAGTTTCATCGGTCAAGTGTATTTTAGTAAAAATCCTGATTTAAAATAAGGAGTGAAAGGAAAGGGTGCAGCTGATGTTTGACGATAAGACGAAGAAACAAAAGTAGCTGGTTGGATAATTTCCGAGCCGCATTGAACGCATTCTTCCTGTTTCACTGTTTCCCGCGCGTGGCTCAAACTTGTAAATGCTGACGGAGGAAAGAAGAATAAAAAATGATTCGCAGGAACATCAGGATGGTTCTGGCCGACACTCTGAACGACCTGTCGAAGCAGAACTTGGAGAAGTTCTGCCACGCGCTGGTGGACCGCCGGGACGAGCCGCGGGTTCGGCGGAGCCGGGTGGACATCGTGGACGTCCTGGTGTCCACCTTCACGGAGGACGGAGCTCCGCGGGTCGCCGAGGAGCACCTGAGGAGCATCGGCTGCATCCAGGAGGCGGAGACCCTCGGTCAGAACCCCCACCTGAAGAAGAACTCTGTAAAACCCCAACAGTTTGTTTTTCTGTATTTTAACCTGGAGCGCCCCCCGGTGGTGCTGTCAGGAACCACAGCTGATTAAAAATCACTGCTAATCATTTTATCAGCTAAACTTACTGCTAATCAGCAAAAAAACCTTTTTCTATAAATAAACCCATCATTTATTAAAGTAATCACCCGCCTCCTCTCATTGTAGAGTTTTTATTGACACAAAACTGTTGATGTTAGCTACTTAGCAGTTACCTGTTAGCAATTTCATTTTGGTTCACAAACAGTTTACAAAGTTACTGTAAAATCTAATCTGCTGATCAAAGGGGAAAAAATAGTTCATTTATTAACTGATTAACAGAACTTGTTAAAAATAAATAGCTTTTGTATCAATATTATCATGATTTGTTTCCCATCCAAGTCATCTCAACTTTGCCATGCTTCTCCTCCTTCTCCTCTTGTCCTAGAGCTGCCATTGTAATTTATATCTGTAAAGCTCCTGTGCCAAATGATGGCTATGCCTTTTGGTGCCTGTAAAACTTATAGTTTTTGAAATGTTGATGTTTAATAAATTATAATGGCAGTCAATGGAGCCTTGTATTGGTCCAATTCTGCCCCCTGCTGCATCTACACAATATGGTACTGCGCCATAGTTTCATAATATTTAAACTCAGTAGTTCAGTGATTACAATATTAATATGATTGTATTTTGATGTTTTACTGTAATACTGTCTTTATGTTGTCCTATTGCTGTAAAATATTGCACTTAAGTGTCAATAATTGCATTGGCAAGGTAAACTTTTTCTGTATACATACAATCCAATCCCTGGGATTGTCCTCTGCCACATCTCCTATAGTCTCATGATGAGCACTGTGGGCTTTCATGTGGGAGGTCAGGGTTCAAATCCAACTACTGCAACTTTGACAAAAATCTCTTCAAACTTCATAATGTCACACAATTAACTTAATTAGAAACACCTGCTGACGTGACAGGAACAAGCTGGTTTAGAAAACACATTTGAACTTGGTCAAAGTTCATTCTGAAAGTCCAATGCTCCTGCCTACGTTGTCCTAGAGCTGCCATTGTAATTTCTGTCTGTAAAGGTCCTGTGGCAAATGATTGCTATGCCTTTTGGTACCTGTACAACTTGTAGTTTTTGAAATATTAATGTTTAAACTTTATTCCAAATTCATAAAATGAGAGTCAATGGGGCCTTGTAATGGTTCAATACTGCCCCCAGCTGTACGCAACTTGGTACTGCACCATAGTTTTTTATATTTAATCTCAATAGTTCAGTGTTTCCAATACTAATATGATTATATTTTGATGTTTTACTATATCATTGTGTTAATATTGCTCTATTGTTGTAATATTATGCATTTTTGTATCAATAATTGTATTGGCAATGTGGCCTCTTTCTGCACACATACAAACCAACCCCTGGCACCACTCCCTGCCACAGCTCCATTGGTCTAACGGTCTATGTCATGGACTTTCATGTGGGAGATCAGGGTTTCAAACCCAGCTAACGATACTTTAACAAAAAATCTCTTCAGACTTCATATTGTCACACAATTACCTTAATTACAAACACCTGCTGACATGACAGGCACAGGCTGGTATAGAAAACACATTTGAACTTGGTCAAAGTTCATTCTGAAAGTCCAATGCTGGCAAAGACATGCTGCAATGACATACTACATGGCAATGCACACTTGTTTTTACACCGTAAAAACCCATGTCTAGTTCACTTCTGTTTTCTCGCTGTGTTGTGTTCAGGGACCGTAAAGGTGTCCGGACATCGCAGCTGCAGGAAGTTTAGAGACAAAACTTCCAACCAGCGGATGAAAGAAAAACAGATTTTTATTTGACTCATTTATTCATTAATTTATAAAAACATTTATCTGAACAAAAAGTCTTGTTTGTCTTTTTAATTCATAAGAAAATATTTAATAAAATTCTTCAGTGCTGTACATCTTTACAGAGATGTTCATTTTAACCACATTTCCAAAGTTAAAGAGGACAGACTGAGACAGCAGGGACATGTCCAGAGGAGGGACAGTTCAGGAACAGAAACTGAGAAAGCAGCTGAAATAAATTTTAAAAAAAGGATCTTTAAAGAATAAAATGTTTGTTGAGCTGGTTCAGATCTGACCTCCGGCTGCAAACAGACAAAATGTTCTGTAACAGGAGGCGGAGCCAGATGTTTACAGCTGCTCCATCAGAACCAGGAAGTGTCTCTCAGGATTGTCAGAACATGTTAAACAGGAAGTAGTTCCTCATCCAGAACTGGTTCTTATAAAACCCGTTAGGACTTTGTCCACAACTCTGATTTTATTTTATTTAAAACTTCATCTGAAAACATCTGGACTCACATTAAACATCTGCTGCAAGTTTATAACTCATTAAATCAGTAAAATCTGTTGTTTTATTTTACTGTGGGTTCTTTAAAGAGATAGAATAGAATAGAATAGAATAGAATAGAACAGAATAGAATAGAATAGAAACAGCCTTTATTGTCCCGCACAGGGAAATTCAGGTGTAGCAGCAGCAGCAGGTACATCAAGCCACAAAAACTATATTTCTATGTGACATTATCAGTTGTAGCAATAATAATAGAATTAAAGTTAGCAACAATACAAAATAAACATAGATAAAAGATAGGAATAGTAATTAGTGTACCGATTTATCAAGGTGAAATTAGATCAAATGTGAGAATTTGTCAGTTTTTATTAATTTAAGAAATTCAAATGTACAGAAT